TTGACACTCAAAAGTTCCTAACGTTCGCCGAAACGCATCGAATAGTTTTGAATCAAATCCTCCGCCAATCGTCGACACCGTTAGCCGACGGACCCTTCTCTGTACTCGTAGACCACACCCGAGTGCTCGACTTCGACGTCAAGCGACGGTACTTCCGACAAGAGTTGGAACGACTGGATGACGGCGCCCGACGCGAAGATCTTGCGGTTCACGTGCGACGCGAACACGTGTTTGAGGATTCGTATCGAGAGCTGCACCGACGCGCGTCCGAGGAGTGGAAGAATCGCTTCTACATTGTGTTTGAGGGCGAAGAAGGTCAGGATGCGGGCGGTCTGTTGCGCGAGTGGTATACCATTATATCGCGTGAGATATTCAACCCGATGTACGCCTTGTTCACGACCTCACCGGGCGATCGCGTGACGTATATGATCAACAGTGCCTCCCATTGCAACTCCAATCACTTGAGTTATTTCAAATTCGTGGGCCGAGTCATCGCCAAAGCCGTCTACGACAACAAACTCCTCGAATGCTATTTCACGCGATCTTTCTATAAACACATTCTCGGAAAACTCGTCAAGTGAGTCACACATCCCTTTCCCCTAACACTACTGTATCTCTTGAATCATATAACTTAAACGAATGGCATATTTAAGATAATGGTTATAATGATGTGATTTACTGATAATATATTTGTGTATTGAAACCAATAGACACATCGATATGGAGAGCGAGGACTACTCCTTCTATCAGGGATTGGTGTTCCTGTTGGAGCACGACGTCCACGACTTGGGCTATGAATTGACGTTTAGTATCGAAATCCAAGAGTTTGGAGTGACAGAAGTGCGAGACCTGAAGCCCAACGGCCGCAACATAGCAGTGACCGAAGACGCGAAAAACGAATACGTCCATCTCGTCTGTCAGGAGAAGATGACGGGCGCCATCAAGAAGCAGTTGAGCTCATTCCTCGAGGGCTTCTACGAGATTATACCCAAACGACTCATTTCTATATTCAACGAACAAGAGCTCGAACTCCTAATCTCCGGTCTGCCAAACGTGGACATCGATGACCTCAAGGCCAACACGGAGTACCACAAGTATCAGTCCAGTTCACTGCAGATCCAGTGGTTCTGGCGTGCGTTGCGATCGTTTGACCAGGCTGATAGGGCCAAGTTCCTACAGTTCGTCACCGGCACCTCCAAAGTGCCGCTCCAGGGGTTCGCCGCTCTCGAGGGCATGAATGGCTCGCAGAAGTTTCAGATACATCGCGACGACCGCTCCACAGACCGACTTCCATCCGCTCACACCTGGTATGCACTCTTTCTCTCTCTCTCTCCCTCCAATTGAATGACATTAACTCTATTGTATGGCGCCTATAGCTTCAACCAACTGGATTTACCAGCTTACGAGACTTACGACAAATTACGACTAATGCTTCTGAAGGCAATCCAAGAGTGTTCAGAAGGGTTTGGTTTCGCGTAAAATAATACACAAAACTTTATTACACGTTATGACTGTCTTATGGCCTGTGATTAACGAGATTTTTATATTTTCAAATAAATTGCGATAAAAATTAAAAACTATTGTAAAATATATGAGAAATTCTTTTCAATTGAATGTATTGTATATTAACGCGATTTTAATGCAGAAAAGCAATGATTAGTTCATAATTATTAATTAATTATTATTTGTAGTCCATTATTACTATTACTATTATAATGAATACTTTGGAGTAAAGACAAAAAGTTGTTTAAAATCTTCAGAAAAATATTATCATTAAAACAAATAATTGAAATACTGATCCATTTGTATAAAAAGGTTAATATTATTAAAAATAATTTTTAAAATAAAATATTTTTATTTTGTAATAAATTTCTCGACAACTGAAGCGAAAGCGATGTTTGGTTTGAAGGCATAAAATGCGTTCATTTATTTCCACATAAAAGGCATACATTAAAAGCGTTGGCACACAGTTTGGACCAAAAATCAATAATAAACTACTTTTTTAAAGGATTATATAATTTTTTGAAATAATTCTCCGGCAACTTATGGGTGAAATTTTTCGCTCAAATCATGCGATTAGCGAAAGCGCTCTATTATATAGGAAATAGATTTTTAACCCAAAAAAATGCCATTTAATTGATTTCTTTATGTATCCGTCGATTGACTAGAATTTAGCAGCAAATAGCGAATGGAGTGTATATTCAGACAAATGTTGACAAACACTACACTATTTTAAAACTCATATTTAATTGATGTTTTAGGAGTCATTCATTGAATTCATACATAACTCACCCTTTTTTGAGGCGATTAATGCTTTCCATTAACGAACAGCTCGTATGAAGGCTTACATTGTATTCAATCAAAATTCAGTGCAATTTAAAACAAAATGATTTCTTTAGTATTCACACAATCAAGTGATTTATGGCTTTAATTGAATGCTTTATAGATTGAAATTCCTGTTATTTTTACATTTTCTATTTAAATGGCATAAATGGCACACATATTGAGATTTCACTTTTGTATAACAACTCTGCATTCTTTGCATTAATATTATGATTTAGTATTACAGTATAAGTTACTCTATATTTCATTATTCTTTGACATAATTCTTATGATTTGTATTGTTTTGAAATAATGTAATAATTTTTGATTTTCTTTAATTCGCGTTTTAAAGAATCTAATTGTGATATAATTCAAAGCATTCAGTCACTCACTCGTCAGTTATATTTATATATTAAAGAATTTATTATTATTATTAAATAAAATTACTTTCTCTCAAAATATTTCATCACAACTTGTATTATAAAACAAATAAAAAACTAACAATTCAAATCATAGAAGTTTGCTAAGTTATTATTTTTTATACTTTTCCACTTGTTAATAGTATGAATACTTTGTATGCAAAACTACTGTACATTAACTGTAATAGTGTAATAAATAACATGTAATAAACAACTGTTTTTATTCTTGTCAGTACAATATTCTTTGAACTAACTCTAAATTATTTGTTACCCTTTATCTTACAGCAACACTAAAGCATTTAATCGTATGCTTAATTATTTTTGTTAATGTTATATCAAATGAGTTATAAACGATAAAACATTGATTTTTCAGTCATTTGAATATATGTGAATCTATATCCAAAATTTGGTTTCCAATGAATACTTTGTTTATCAAATAAAGCCTAAATTGAGTTATGCTCAGAAACAATTAAAGTCAATTTCACGAAAGGATCAGTAAATATTATTGTACCAAAACGGGGTTAAAATATTGAACTGTCAAATATTACAACTGTCCAATGCTGTGGTTTAAAGGTTAAACTGGATTCATTTTGGTTTCGACCCCTTTTGTTTACTGATCCTTTCGTGAAATTGACTTTATCTTAATGTTTAATATAAAATATATTTTATAAAGTTTTATAATGTATTATTTTTATTTTGCATTAGAGAAATCTGAATATTATTTGCATCTCAAAGTCAATGAGAGATTTATTTTCATACATCCTCTATACTGTATTATAATAAACGTATTTCCCTTTCTATACATTAGTTGTAGTCAATAAAACAGATTTGAAATCACTTTGAATTAACTATAAGAGGAATTGACTGCGAGGGCGGATAGGAGTACA